TGTAAAGATCTCAATATAAGTACCTAATAAGGAGATATCGTATTACTGCATATACTTACTCGAAGGGATATGTAACTTAGGGTAGGCTTCTTTCTTCAATCGATTATTTGTGGTGTGATCCCCCGCAACAAAATGTTTGTCACAAACTCGATATTTTTTATAAACGACACTGAGATCCAAGTCTAAAAGTTCAATGTTATTAATTATCCGCAGCCACTTCTCACAAAGCTCCCTCAAATTTTTCGGGTTAGGAAACCGATGTCTAGCATCCCGTTTATCTGGCACACAGTTAGGAACTACACAACCGGTGAGACCCATTTTAACTCGTACACACAAATAATTATAAACACAATATTGTAATGTACAATTTTCAGAAGATAACCAAAACAACCAAAGATAAGATAACAAAAGGCAAAGCCAAACTTCAAATACGTGGAAAGTGAAAACTACGCCATATTTTATTTTGGAAGCTAACTAACATGTGACGCCGCCATTACAGTTTCATTATTCATATGTTAGATTTCATTCTACGTTAGTAATATATTTTCTATGGTTGGCACCACAAAACAGAAAAAAGAAGAAGGCTCATTTATAAGGATAAATGATAGGCAACACGCAATTTAAAAACGATTGGTACGCCACCATGCAGGCGGGTGGCAAATTTCATGCGATGAATGGGTTGCATACTTCCACAATATAATTTAAAGTTTCATTTATTTAATAAGCATAAAAAATACATTTGTTATATATTACTTATTACTGAAGCAAACGTATTTTTTATACTTCTTATAATTGGGATGACATGTACACGTGTGTGAAAAAGAAATACATGGTATTACAAAATTTTTATTCAAAATGTAAAAATTAAACAAATATGTAAATTGTACACAAATTCTGCACAATAACAATTACATTTATTCATGGCTGAAAGTCCTGGAGAGTATATTATACATATAGACATAACAGACGGTATTACCTACGAATTATAAATACAGTTTTCAGTAAATAAAATATTTTTAACATCGTTCAATATTATTTTATTACTCAGTATTTACTAGACTTATCCAGTATAGTCCACCAAATAGTTACATCTCAATTTTAACCCACTGTATTTAGATCATCGATTATCTTTAAGCTGCCGAAAGCACAAACTAATTACCTCCTTTATAAAAGCAGTTTAGGGCCGAAAGTCCTGGAGAGTATACTAACAGAAGGTATAACCTACAAATTACAAATACAATTTTCAATAAATAAAATATTTCTAATATCATTCAATATTATTTTACTACTGGTCACATACTACACAGCTTCTGTTCTTACTTACCTGGAGAAAAAACATATTCATAATTTAATTAAAATTGTTTCATCTTCTGTGTCTTCACATAACAGAGTCCGGATTCGTGACCTCACACTGGCGAGTGACGCTGTGGCGCTGTGGGATGCCCTGTACTGCAGATAAAACAAGTATTCTTTCGTTCTAAACAAAGTAAATATAGTGAGCTGATTGACTGAATGTGATTAAACTGAAAGTGATTTTTTTATTCACTTCAGAAACATGAAAGAACAGTTTCTGATCAGTTGTAAGATCCAGATGTATAATTTTTGAGGTTATACTTTGTTTCTTGTTTCCATTGTTCTTTTCCCGTTTCAAGTTTCAATATTTTAAAATGGAAAAACAAATTTTGGAAATATTTTTTGCTAATACCTACATCATATTTCAGTATGAGTAGTAGCAGCAGTTCTAGCAGCGACAGTTCATTTCTTGATTTAGACAGTGACGTAGATTTAAATCTGCAAAAAAATCATGTAAAAAATGAAAATTACTTTGAAGTAACTGTGCCTTCTTGTTCTGAAACAGATTATAAAAAACATTTCCGCATGAGACGAGATTCCGTATTAAAATTGTGAGTTACTAGATTTGGAAAAAAATTATGTGGGTGGGTGGCCCGAAATTAGTAAATCAAAAGCAGTTCATATAACTCTACATTATTTGGCAAATAAAAATACCCTTAGGGAAGTTGCTGATAAATTTAATGTTAGTGAAAGTGCTTGTCACAAATCGATATTGACAAATGTAGCCGCATTAAAACAGATCAGCAAAAATTATATAAAACTACCGCAAAGAGAACAGTTTCATGATAGTTCCCTGATTTTTGCAAAACAGGGTGGATTACCATATGCTATTGGTGCTATAGATGGAACTCATTTAGAAATACCTAGACCTCAAAACCATCAAGAGGATTATTTTAACCGCAAAAGCTANCAGTTTCATGATAATTCCCTGATTTTTGCAAAACAGGGTGGATTACCATATGCTATTGGTGCTATAGATGGAACTCATTTAGAAATACCTAGACCTCAAAACCATCAAGAGGATTATTTTAACCGCAAAAGCTATCATAGCATTATATTGCAGGGTGTTGTCAATGAAAAAAAAAATTTAATGACATTTACATTGGTGAACCTGGAAGTTTGCACGATGCACGTGTTTTAAAAAAGTAAATAAAATATAAATATTGTTATCGACTGTACCGTGGCTGCAATTGTTTTGCACAATTTGTGTATAATGTGGGATGATTTAGATGCAGAATTTATAAATGAGAATGAGGTTCCTAGAAATGACAATGAAGATTATGTAGTTCCCCAAGATGCAGCAGGTAATACCAGAAGAAACGAAATTTTTCAAATGTGTATAATTAATTAGTAATTACATACCTACCTATATATATGTATCGACTGCTAGATCTTGTGGCACTACATAATATCATTTCAAAGGGGCTCATTCTCATTTAAAAATTATTCATTTAAATACCTTTTTACTAATAACATTATTAGTTTTCCTTAATTTTTAATTAACCAAATCGTAAAATTAGGTTTTAGTATCATAAAAGTAGAACTGTACTCTACAATATGTATATATTAAAAAATAAACAAAAAATATTCCTTACATTATATTTTTATTTCATATTTTCACATTCAAGATATTTTTCTAATNGGAAAGCTCATGACGAATTTCGCGGATGTCCTCGAATTTCACCTCGGTTTCGAGTCTGAAGTAGTCCCATGACCGGACACTTCCGCGTTCAAAATTTCTCTAGAACTACTCGTCGCAATGGAAAACTACGCGACACTGCCGTTTCAACGTCTTAGTCTGTGAGGTTCAAGTCAAGTAATTATTCACCTCAGTTTCTATTCGGGCGACACTCGTACGGAATTCGCGGGATCTATCGACAATCGCGAATGTGGACAATATGGGCTGGGCACTTACCATAATGTCTAAAGTCTGCTCCATGTCCTCCGGGTCCGGACACTGGTACACTCAGTTTTAGACTAGTCTCTATTTATTTATTATTACAAGTGTTCTTTCGTTCTAAACAAAGTGAATATACTGAACTGATTGAACTGAATGTAATTAAACTGAAAGTGATTTTTTTATTCACTTCAGAAACACGAAAGAACAGTTTCTGATCAGTTGTAAGATCCAGATGTGTAATTTTTGAGGTTATACTTTGCTTCTTGTTTCCATTGTTCTTTTCCCGTTCCAAGTTTCAATATTTTAAAATGGAAAAACAAATTTTGGAAATATTTTTTTACTAGTAGCAGCAGTTCTAGCAGCGACAGTTCATTTCTTGATTTAGACAGTGACGTAGATTTAAATCTGCGAAAAAATCATGTAAAAAATGAAAATTACTTTGAAGTGACTGTGCCTTCTTATTCTGAAGGAGCTTATAAAAAACATTTCCGCATGAGACGAGATTCCGTATTAAAATTGTGTGAGTTAACTAAATTTAAAAAAAAATTATGTGGGTGGCTGGCTCGAAATTAGTAAATCAAAAGCAGTTCATATAAATCTATACATAATTTGGCAAATAAAAATACCTATAGGGAAGTTGCTGATAAATTTAATATTAGTGAAAGTGCTTGTCACAAATCGATATTGACAATTGTAGCCGCATTAAAACATATCAGCAAAAATTATATAAAACTACCGCAAAGAGAACAGTTTCATGATATTTCCCTGATTTTTGCAAAACAGGGTGAATTACCATGTCCTATTGGTGCTATAGATGGAACTCATTTAGAAATAATTAGACCTCAAAACCAACATGAGGATTATTTTAACCGCAAGAGCTATCATAGCATTATATTGCAGGGTGTTGTCATTGAAAATTTTTTTTAATGACATTAACATTGGTGAACCTGGAAGTTTGCACGATGCACGTGTTTTAAAAAAGTCTCCTTTATACGAACGATTAGAAAGGACACAGCAAATATTGCCATATTATTTTTTGGCAGATAGTGCTTACCCGCCTTCGGTTTCTTGGTTAGTTCCTCCCTTTAAAGATAATGGTAATTTATGTGAAAATCAAAAGGAATTCAATCAAAGATTATCAAGAAGAAGAATAATTGTAGAGCAAGCATTTGGTCTATTGAAGGGACGCTTTAGGAGATTAACACGATTTGATAATAAATATTGTTATCGACTGTACCGTGGCTGCAATTGTTTTGCATAATTTGTGTATAATGTGGGATGATTTAGATTTTAGATGAAGATTTTATAAATGAGAATGAGGTTCCTAGAAATGACAATGAAGATTATGTAGTTCCCCAAGATGCAGCAGGTAATACCAGAAGAAACGAAATTTTTCAAATGTTGTATAATTAATTAGTAATTACATACCTACCTATATATATGTATCGACTGCTAGATCTTGTGGCACTACATAATATCATTTCAAAGGGGCTCATTCTCATTTAAAAATGATTCATTTAAATACCTTTTTACTAATAACATTATTAGTTTTCCTTAATTTTTAATTAACCAAATCGTAAAATTAGGTTTTAGTATCATAAAAGTAGAACTGTACTCTACAATATGTATATATTAAAAAATAAACAAAAAATATTCCTTACATTATATTTTTATTTCTTATTTTCACATTCAAAATATTTTAATAGTTCAATTTTTTTTTCTAATTTCAACATTTTTTCTTTTATTTCTATTTTCTTCTCAAATTTTTCTTATGATTCTCTTCCTGCTTCTCCTTGAGATATTTGATTTTAATTTCCATAAATTCCTCACTTTTCTCTTTTAACATGTCGTCAGTCCTCTTTTTCTTCTTTTTATTTGTGCTTTCTTCTCCAGACTCACTAGAAAAAGATAAATCTGTCACTGACATGCTTTTGTTTGGTTCATTTTCACTGGATTCTTTCTCATTATCTGAAGTAATACATGTGCTTGATGAAGCGTCGGTTGTACTGTAAGTATGAGTACAGCTCATAGCAGGTTTATCTCCTACGATTTCATCGATAAGGTTAAAAAAATGAAACCTACTAGCTCCTCGCCCTGTACTTTTTGACGAATCTTTAACATTTTTGTAGATTCTTAATAAATTTCTCCATTTTGATTCGCATTTTGTCGAACTTTTTCCGATGTGATTACTTGCAAGTTCATTTGCAATGTCTTGCCATACTTGTTTTCTTTTTTTTTGAGATTTTAAAGTTTTCTCTATTACTCTCATAAGCTCTAATAAGAGCTAAAGTTTCATTATATGATCACAAAGATTTTTCATCATTTTCTTCTAATTTCATGTGATCACTATTTTCTAATTTGGTGTTGCCCTCTTCAGTGGACTCCATACTGTCCACACTTTCATTCTCTTTCGCAAAATCGAGCAATTGTGCAAATTCAAGGTTTAAAGATAATTAACAATTATTATTGGGTTTCAAAATCACAAACCAAGAAGTACTTACCTGTTTCACAGCGCTCAGCATCAGCCCTGCATAAATTTATGGTATATATAACATCAGTCTCGGGATTNCATTCATATTTTCATCACTTTGATCTTGTTCATTCTTATTTTCTTCACTTTGTTCTTGTTCATTCTTATTTTCTTCACTTTGATCTTGATCATTCCTATTTTCTTCACTTTGTTCTTGTTCATTCTCATTGACAGTTAAAACGGGCTGAGAATTTAATATTATTGCATTCATGTCTTCCGCACCAAAAAACAAATTAGATTCCATTTCACAATTGGCGTTAACTGTCTTGGGGCCATCAAGGAACACAATATCTAGCTCTTGTATGTTAATAAGTGGCCGAACTGGTGTTTCTACAGGCAATTCGCAACAAATATCTATGTTTTCTAAGTTCGCAAACATTGTTGTAGAATCAGGGTCTTTAAATACATTGTCATTTTCAGGTACAAAAACAGTCTCTGTAATCATACAATTTGTACTTTCAGTCTTATCAAGTGGANACCTGTTTCACAGCGCTCAGCATCAGCCCTGCATAAATTTATGGTATATATAACACCAGTCTCGAGATTTAATAGTTTTACAGTAGTTTGGTTTTCCATTTGAGTTTGAGTTCTTTCTTAACCAGTAACATATACATATATACATATGGAGGGTGTCCTGACAACATGTCCTATCTTTACTATGGCTATTTTACAGGAAACACAAAAAAGTTATTTTCAAAGTCAAATGAATTAGAACAAACAACATATTACAAACTTGGTTATAAAATATTGTTTCAGTTATGGAAACAATATAAATTAATAAAAAAAACACATTATTTAGGAAAATAGCAACGATAGATCTTGTTGCTTTTTATAATATTTACGATAGAACTTATTGGCGAGCAGTAAATTTGGGATAGGTTGTATTGAGTATTATCTTTCTACAGATAGGAGATATTGGCTAGATGGAAACAAAATGAATTATGACACTTTAACTAAATAAATACTCTATTTTATTATAAAAATATAAATGAAACAAATATATATATAATATTAAAATACCTTAAACATTATTAATTAGCCTTTAGACTAGGGTTATCTGCCGTTGTCTTTATTTTTTTGGAAGGCTGTCGTAATAGTAGTGACAATCTTTGGGAATTACACTTTTTAATTGTTGAAGGTGGTTAAATTTACTTTGTAAAATACCCGGCCTCTTTTTATATAATTTTGGATATTCAAAAATCGGATCTAATATTTGGGCTTTTGATGGAATTGCTTTCCATTCGTCGTCGAAATCCAACAAATATTTAATTACGTGGTCTCCATCTTCATTAGTGCTGTATTGTAGAGATGCGGACTTGCCAAAATCTTTGAAAAAATTCCATGTCAATTCTTTAACTTCATAAGGTCCTGGGTTCTGTCTAGCTCCTTTTGTATGTCGCAGATAGTCACTGGATAAGTATATTTCTTTGTTTTTAAGTTTTTTCTCTATATACGCGTGAACAGAGACACACTCCATTTGAGTGTGACCCCGTTCAAGAAACTTTTGATATATAGTTATATTATGTTTAATGGCACAGTTTAATAGGGCATTTGGGCAAATTTGAAAACTAATTTAGTAGCTATAGCCAAGTGATAATATTTCACATTAGGTGTATTTTACTTGGTGTACCTTGCTTTAAATTTTAATTTATGAAAATAAAATTGTAGTTTAGACAGATCTTGTACAAATTATTATTATTAGCACACTCTATTTAAGAGACTATACACAGGTATAATAAATTGTTCACTTTTGATAAAAAGTAAAAGCAGAAGATAACATCAGAAAACATTATTATTCTAAACAATATTATAGGTACTTATTTATATCAAAACAATATGTCCTGTCTAGCACAAATTACATTATGCTAATAAGACCTAACTTAAACAATTCAAAATTTCGCTTGTACAACCGTATTGTTTTTTAAATTTGCGGTATATGTTTATCAATACAATCCTACAATTATCAAGTATATATAAATATTAATTTAGTAAACAAAACTTCTCAATCTGTAGCTAAATTTATGAATTTAAGGGAACTCACCTGCTAGCGTGCACACTACAACACAAGTCAATGGCAACTAAACACAATACGACGTATTGAGGTCCAATAAAAACCGGTTTATGATAGGAGAAATTGCTTTCGCTATTTCCTAATTTATTTTTGTTGTCTGCTGTTAGGATATGTTTTTAAAACAAGCGGACATATTTGAGTTAGTCGAATAGGTCATATTGTCAGGACACCCTCGATATATATTTCACTGTTCTACAAAATAGTATTAATATATGCACAAATATGTTCTGAAATTTAAGGTTAGAATTACTAAGTGAACGAAATTGAATCATTTGAATGTGGAAAGTTTGTGTGTCGAGGGGTAAGAGGAAACACAAAATGCAATCACTTCTGTCACTATGGAAGGGGAATTGAACGAGAACGAAAGAACACGTTTTAAAATGAATAAATCATTTTATGTTACTACATTCAGTTTATTCAGTACGAAAGAATAGGTACATGTAAAATAGGGTGACGGAACATTTTACTCTGGTGGTGCCATCATGAAAGGTGATTGCACCAGTTAAGGAACATTTAAGACAAATTCGTTTTTGTATAATTCAAAACTAATATTAGAATTGTTCCTTTCAATTATGTTTTTTTACCATCACATAGCTTAATATGTCTTTTATCTTTAACAATATGAAAGAATACTCCAAAATTTTATACAAAAATTGTAAAGAGTTTGTTAATTAAAAAGTACAAAATTACCAGTAAAGGAACAGTAATCTCTAGTAAATAAACAAAAAAAAGCCAGTAAAGGAACTAAGAAAATATATTATGGAAATATTATAATTTTAATCATTAATCTCAGAAACTTTAAACAAACCACGTGAATTTAATGGTATAGGCTCATTTATGGTATTCATTATAGCTGTACGCTTATACCAAATTTGATCCGGCCTTTCTGGCCATCTCCAGTTTCCTCCATGGCCCTAATTTCATACTCCCCATAATTATCAAATCCAGTTATGACTCCAGGAAATATTTGTTTTTCGTAGGTTACTAGAACATATCTTCCTACGGTAAATAAAAAAAACCCATAAAGAAACATACTTGAACCAGTAAAGGAATACCTTATAATGAAGTGTTCCCTTACTGGATATGAGACTTATAATGAAGTAAGAAATAATAAGAACAGTCTACATACAATGATACTACCAAATTGAGGCTGAATAATATTAAAATTCTAGTGAATAATAAAATTCTAGTGAAGGAACACTATGTTCCTTAATTGGATTTTTTTAATTTCGAAGGTCCAGTAGAGAAACACTGGAAAATTAAAGAAATTGTAGGCAAAATTACTGTTTTGACCTAAGAAATAATTAATCTGAAATCCAAACATTGTTCTAGAACAGTTTTTATTCCTTTAAAATTAATACCAAAGCTAATAACTGAAAAGTAAGAAGAGCTCACCTTTTAAAGTTCTTAATTGTTGAGCAGTCAGACTTGGGTGTATCAACTTGCCCAGATTTCAAATGATAACTGTTATAAATTCACATGACCTACAGGCTAACCAACTTACATAACGGAAAATAAGATACCAACCTAATATTTAAAAAATAAGCGGAAATTTTAAATCACAAGGAATCCTTAATATTACTTAAAATATAGGCGAGTGTTCCTTTACTGGTGAGTGTTCCTCAATTGGTGCAATCACCCTATGAAGGTGGCAAACTACTCGTCGTTTTTCAATTTTGCCTATAAGTTTCCCCGGGCTGGTTGGCACTGATCTAGGGTTGGTAGCAGTGTTGCCAACATTATATATTTAATACTAAATCTGGTATTTTGAACGTCCCATTTAGTATTGAAAATTTGAATTTAGTATATAGTATATTATTTAGTATTTTTAATTTTAAATTAGTATATGTTGTAGTATTTTCTTGTTATCTAAAATCATAAAAATTCTTTAATTAACCAGTTAGTTGAACAGGTTAAAATACCGCATGTGAAAATTGATATTCTACAAAAGGACGATTTGGAAAAATTTAAAACTAATATTTACAAATACTGTTATTTGGGATATGCTTTTGAGCATAATATTAAATGTCTGAAGGATAAAGGCAATATTAAAAAAGAAGAAGAGTTAGCATTGCGAGAAAGAGCTGTTGATTTTATTGTGAAACTGGTGGAACAGTTACTATTAAGAACTCCTGAAATCCTAAAACTATTAGAGCACATATTTTTTTAATTTAATTTGTGTGGATAATGCTTTGAGTTACAATAAACCTAATTTGACTTCACTTTTTGAATATTATAAAAAAACAGCAACTGAGATTTGTGAAATGGAAAATCAGTGGAATAAAATACATCTGTTAACGTGGACAAATATAAAAAACAAAAAAAAACTTTTGGTGTGAAGTTAAAAAATACAGAGATGCTGGAAATAGTGCTTCATTTGATCAATTAGTTAATTTTGCTATTTCATTGCTAGTAACTCCACATTCAAATGCAGAAGTGGAAAGATTATTTAGTATGATGAATGTGATAAAGACTAAAATTTAAAAGACAGAATATGTGTTGTGCAACTTACAAATTGCCTGATAATGGACAAAGTTGAAACGTTGGAAGCGTATTAGTGGGATGTGGAAGATTTGGATTTTAATATTTATGTTTAGTTTTTGGTTTTCTTTGAAAATTTATCTTTTATGTATTGTAATTTACAGTAGGTATATAGTTTATTTTTTATAAAATATAAACATACTAGCAATTTAAAGAAAATTTATTTACAAATTCCATTCATTAATATGCAACACGCAACGCAACTTGAAACCTATTTGCTTTTTCATAGTTTAATTTTGATAATTTTTTCTTAGTATTTTGTAGTTTCTCCATAACAGTTTAAATTAACTCTGGTTCCAATATTTTTCCAATTGTAAATTAAGTAATAGGTTTTAGTATATTTTGGTATTTTTTTTGTACCGGTTGGTATTTATTGCTAATTCAAAGTTGGCAACACTGGTTGGTTGGTTGTTAGTGCTTTGTTTTGCTGAAAATGGAGTTGGCATATAAAAGTGGAGATTTTCTGTTTAGTTTCGGTAGGGATAGGAATTGTTTGTTTTTTTTCTGTAATATTCCAGTGAAGTGATTTCCGCGTGTCATCCTCATCCCTTTTGGAGGCTTACCTCGTGGCGTTGTAGATATGCCCTCTTGCAGAGTTCCTGTTTGACTCTAGGTATTTACCTCCTTTTAATAGCTGTTTCATATTTATGTGTTCTGTTTACAATTTTTTATTCGACTAGGCCTTCAAGAGTCTTTCTTCCTAGGCGACGCTGGGACTTAAATAAGTATGCATAGGACTTTTTGAAGCCTTCGTTTAGTGAGGGTAT